AAATGGAATGAAATGCATTCCAGTTGTGCAGATAAAACCCCACAAATAAAATTCTAAAGGATGCACTGTTAGTGTGTGAAAATAGGCAAGATCCAAGGATCCCCAGATGGTGGAGACATCAGGCACCAGGTGCCCGCACATCTTCACTTGGTTGCAAGTGACTGATAGCCAGGTGCAAAACACGCCTGGCAAATTTTGAACGCTGCTCTGATCTCATGTTGTGCCCGCTTACAGAGCTCACAAGGGAGAACTCTGCTGATGGAAAAGATGACAAAAGTAGCAGTTTGCACAAAACAGACAGACCTCACAACACACATGAGATCTTTCAGCCCACTGCCTAGAAACCTAGCAGGTAACTCACCATAGGGGTCCAAATTCCTATCACCAAATTCCACTCCATCCCACCAACGACTAAGTAAATAAAGGGGGGAACACATCCTGTAATGTATGCCTGCTTCAAGTGTCTCCCTCCACCACATCCCCTTTGCTATGTATGACTACATCCGTCTTGTCTAAATTGTACAGCTTTATTTATAGCAGCCGCACTGCCTGCTGCCTTTTACATGATGTTCTCCTGCCTCCCAACAAGGCTACCTGTTGGCAAAGGCCAGGCACTCCACTGCAACTATTGCCACTGCTGGTGAGACACTCAGGTGCACCTTTTCCTTACAGGATCACAACCTGGATGCATGGAGTAGGACAGGAAATGAGCACCACACATATGGGAGCCCACAAGACGGAGGTCAGGAAGGCTGAGGAAGGAGCATGGGGTGAGCACTCAGGCAGCACCAGTCACTGCTCTCTCTCACCTGCTCACAAGCACCCACTGTGCATCCCTCTACAGAGATTATGCTGGAGACCTGTTGGCTACTGCTTGATATTCTCTCTTCTCTTATTTTTTAAAAAATCATTTTATTGGTTTTTAGGTAAATATACACAGAACAAACAAGTAACAGTAAAAAACCGAATACAATATTTGTCTTTTCCTTGATCACCACAGCTAAACAGGATCCACCCCACTCCCCATTTTGCACTCATCATGATCAAAATCCACTCCATAACCTGCAACAGTGACCAGCATGCTCTCAGGGGTTCCTTGTTCTTGACCTGCAGAAAAGCTCTATTTCAGACAGATGCAACAGGTGAAGATGTCCTTAATATGGAGCTACTACCCTCATGTCTGTGTCAAGCCACTGTACAATCCCTGCTGGGGTGGCTAGTCAGACACACACACACACACACACACACACACACACTATGTACTTTCCTTCCAGAATCACCTCCATCCTGGATGCTGTTCAATAAGACTTTGTCATTATCATACATGTTGTTCCTTTGGGCTGTATCCAATACTAGTCTAACTCAGAGTAGACCCATTCAAATGAATACACAGACTTACATTGTACCATTGATTTCAGTGGGTCTACTCTGGGTAGGACCTAGCTGAATACAACCCTTTCCCTCTAGGTCTAGGAAATTGTAAAATGGGATCTTTCCATGGGCATAGCCAGGATTTTTGTTGGGGGGGGCAGGACTTTTGTGGGGAGGGGGCAGAACCAATGTGATTGGTCAGTTAGTTAAGTATTTCTATTGTTTTGCTTGATCTGGGGGGGGGATTCAGCTACCCCCGCCCCCCTTCGCTATGCCCATGGACTTTTCCCTAACCCCCTAGAAAAATCTGACTCAGGATGGTTCTCTAAAGGAGACAAAGAGCTTATGGACTCTGGCAGAGGCCTCCCCCCCCCACTGCCTGGACCCCGAAGGGCCTAACCTCTCAAGGTATGCAAGTGGGATGGGCATTGCTGCCATGGTGGGCGTAGGGGGAGTATCTTGCAAATCCACAGCCTAACATAATTGAAGCATAGTATAGGATTGCTCCTTCCATGAATGTGCTCATTGTGTGGTGTGGCATTCACAAAGTATGCTGCTTAACAGTCATGCTGTTGTGCCATGATGGTTAAATCTGACATTTGCTAAAGCGGACTTTTAAATTTAAATTATTTTTGAGCATTAAAAAAAAAAACCACTTGGTGCAGAAAGAGTCGAGAGGGCACTGCCTGATTCATTATTATTATTTGGCTACACAGCTGTCTGCTTTGAAAACCGTGAAGAAATCAAACAAACATACACCCATTATGTTACGGAGGTGGTGTGAATCTGCAGTACCTTAAAGGCCAAAGAACAACAAAACCGTCTTTAACAGCAATGGGCTTTTAAAGTGATATAAATAATCATTCTCGGATTGGAAATGGGTGGAATTTCTGGATGCAATCCACCTTTTTCTCCCTTCAGATAAGCGAGTCTGCCACATTGTTCAAATACACCCATAGATCATTTTATACTTCCTTGCCTTCAGCAGGTCTCAACTTGATACTTAAAACCAGCTCCTTAACGATAACTCTCTATTCACTATTCGAGTTTCTGGTCCCAAGGACTGGATTTTAGTTCACAGCAGATGGGCGGGGGTGGTGGGGGAGGGAAAGTATTAATTTACCTATCTCAATACTGACGTATATCCCAACAAAGACAGATGCACGTACAGAGAGAGAGAGAGAGAGGGAGAGAGAAACGCAAGGGCACAGCACCGCTTTCCCGAGCCTGTAATGTGGAGTTGCAATGCAAAGGCAGTAAGGAGGGCTGGAGCTGCTGATTGGACGATGGGTCTGCCAATCTTTGAAGGAGGGCAGAGTCAAGCGAAGCAGAGCTACTTTGCATCGGTGTTTCCCATTCTTCTTTGCCACTGTGTGTCACATTGTGTGAACCCCTCCCCCCACCTCTCCCAAAAATAACACCCCACTGTTTAGGAAGCAACAAACATCCCTATCCATGGAGGAGTTGGTCTCCTTCACCATAAACACTGGAGATGGAAAATATTAATGCATAACCGCAGTAGAGAAAGGGGGAAAAAACGAGAGTTGGAGTCTGTAACACACTATTAGCTGTAAAGCAGAGAGAAAAGGGAGGAGGAGGAGGAGGGAGGGGAGGACGGGACCCAGAGGTGAGGTGAGAGGAGTTGTGTCACTCCATTGAAAGAGGCTTTGACCTTACATTGATCTCCTTAAGTCCCTGAATCCATTACTATTACTATTATTACCATTACCATTATGATTTTTATTCTTGCAGGTCAGTCAGTTGGATTATAACAGCACCCCCAACTCTTGTCTAATTTGCGAACTCATTAGTCTAATTTCATTATTTAATCATGCGCCAACCAATCGAGCTTCCTTAAGAAAGGACTGACCTATTTTTGGCTGGAGATAAACGATCATGTTAACAGATGTTAATCTTGTAATCTGTTTTCCTGTAAGCACTTCGCATGCCCGCTTTTTAGACATTAACAACAAGAACAACAACACACACACACACACACACACACACACACACACACACATAGAAAAGGGACGAATTGACGTCACTGTTCAATACTCCGGTGGTTTCTTTTTTTAATAGAATTGGGGGGGGGGGAGAAAGAGAGAATTCGCCCCCTATGCTTTCAAAGACATGAAATCTTTTCCCACTTTATAAATGCTGATTTGTTCTGCCTCAACTCCCACGGGCTTTTATTTGCATTTCAAATTCCACAGGTTACACAGATCGCTTTTTACACACACACACACACACACACACACAAATGTAAACCAACAATAAGGCACTGAATGGGGATTGAGAGAGGTGGGGGCAGGGGGCTACATCTGGATTAGATAAAGACCATGCATTAATAGATCTCCAGAAACGGTCTAGAAACAACAACAACAAATATCCTTCTACATCTAGATTCCAAAAGCTGGGGGGGGGGGGCTGAATTTGCAATATCTTAGATCCACCCAATACTCATTTTCCAGAGCGTCCTGGTCTACTGCTGGGAGTTTTTCAGCGCTTCTGGAGCAAGATCTTTGCCGCGGGGAAGTGGGCAGCATTTTCTAGAGCGCTGCAGCTGCAGAGGGCAAGCGACCCGAAAGCCAGAGCACAAAATTGGGACCATCTCCCTGTCACCTTAACCTGGAGGAAAAACGCCTCCTGCGCCCTGAGACTTCTTGCAGCTCAACTCCGACCCCTCTAAAGTTTCCTCAACTTGTCGAAACAGCTTGATTCAAATGACGGTTGCAAGTATTATGCTAATTCTGGGTGGAGATGGGAGGGGCAGAGGAGGAGGAGGAAGAGGAGGGTTTCATAGGACAAAATGTCTGCATTATTTCTCTTCTCTGCACCCCCCCACCAGTCCTCTCATCTCTCTCCCCCCCTTCCCGGTATATCCAATGGGCAGGACTCATCTCCGGGATTGCCCTCCAAGGACTCCCTTCCTCTCCACCTAATTTACAGCCCTCAACTTTCCAGGATAAACTATTCCTTTTAATTCAGCTGATGGGAGAGGATCGGGAGGGGTTGGGGGGTGGAAGTGAGAGAAGTGGCGAGGGGAAGAGGACACACACACACATACACACCCTAAGCAATAAATCAATCCAATCTGCAAATACCCTTAATAATGTAAGTGGCTCGTTCCCAAGCTGGAAAAGCATCGTCTCCCTCCCGCAGCCCGCAAACATTTCATTTTTAAAAAAGACAGGCAGATTCCTTTCTTGCATGCGAGATCTCCTCCCCACCCCCCTCTGTACAAAGTCCAAATGTTCACAGTTTTTTAAAAAATAACATATAGCGACAATCCATTCAGCCCCAGCAAAAAAATAATAATCATCTTTCTCCTCCTCCTCCTCCCTCTCCCTACCCCCCCACCCCGCCACCCCTTTCAAAGAGCCCAAAGTTATCGTTTCTGTAAAAAGTCCCTTCAATTACCGAGCGAGATTAACTATTAATTGGAAACGCGAAGTTTTTCCCACGGGCGTATTAAGAATATTCTCATCTCTCTCCTGCTCTTCCCCCCTCTTTCTGATCCCCTCCCATCTTCTTCCTCAGCACTTAAGAAAGAAAAAGAAAGAAAAAAAGAAAGAGGGAGGGAGTGGAGAGAAAAGAATGGCTTAACAATCTCTTCCCGATCCCCTTACCTTCTTGCAGTTGAGGTGAAGCGATTTGGAGAAGGACACAGACAAACAAGAAACCTGAAGGTGAAACCATGCGCTGAAGGCAATAAGGAAAGAACTGCACATGATTCACTGCGCCAGCTCCACTCCGGCGAGCAGCGAGGGGGGCGTCTCTACACCCCTCGGTGCCAAGCCCTGGGCAAGGGGTCCTCCGGCTTCAAACTTTCCACCGCCCTTTAGCCCATCTGGGAATTCCTTGCGGGCTCTGGGATGGAGGGCGACGGGAGGAATCCCCCTCTCCTTTTCCTGGTCTTTTTCCTCGCAGCGTATAGGTTGACGTCTTCCCCCAGCCGGGCGAATGGTCTGTTCTATATTAAATGCACACACTGTCTACTATTGTCTCATCAGCACAAAGTTCTTGTATTATGCGGGGAAAGTCTAGATAGCCAAAAGCGAGTCACATAAAAAACAATTATTCCACTAACAGGACTGATTCATTAGCAGATCTGTTATTCATCTCTGCTTCAGCCAAATGACTACATAGATGGGGATTACAGGAAACTATATATTCACATACTAAGTATGCAATTTTGTATAATTTCGACTCTCTCGCGATAGGTATCATGCTGCTGGTATCTCAACTTTGAAATAAAAACATTATTGCATATTGCATATTCCTCTTGTTAAATTGTTGCTGTTGTTATTTAATTCAGAGACGTCTGCTACAGACAACTTCTACATGAAATCTTGGTTTGACATTTGCTGCGTGTGACTTTTCTGGGTGCATTAATTTCATCACAGGTACATGCTGTACTAGAATACCCACACACAAATTATATATGTACAGTAATCTCATGTGGCAATGTACTGGAAGCTGAAAGAGAAAGCTATGCACACATGCTCGCTCCTTCTTAAAGGTATACATTGTTTAGTGTCAGAATGAGACATTTATCAACTATGAACTCAGTTTGCATCACAGCTTTTTAAATAAACAGGATTGTATCATTGGGTGTTGTCCAAAACATATCAGTCACAGTGTGCATATACAGGACAAATACGTGTGTGCTTGTATCATGTGACCGTAGTCAACAAGGTAGAGTAGACCCATTGAAATCAATGGGCATGATTCATTTAAAATAATGACTCACTTAAGTCCATTGATCTCAATGGGTCTACTCTGAATATGCCTCGGTTGACTACTATCCAATATGTTTGGCAATGGAATTCCCTAAACAAACATGTTACCCATTGAGAGGAGTCATAATATCTGAAGTGGCTTACTCTTGCTCCCCCCCCCTTCTTTTAAACAAGAGGCTGTAAGAAGAAGACAATACTGCTAACTAACAGTGGAAAGAGTTGGAACTTCTCAAAACAAATCCATTTGCCATATACCTTTAAAAATAAATAGATAGATAAGCTCTAAAGTTTATCTCATATTTTCCAGGATGCTTTCTAAAGCTCACCGCAATAGCCCAAACATGCAGCTGATATATGTTGAGTCTGAGGTGGGGAGCCTCAAATTAATTGGCTGAATTGTGGTCCTAGGTGCTGGATGTGTTGAGGGTAAGAATGGAGCTTTGTTTTAATCTTTGCCTAGTACTGTAGTGTGTGATAACTGGCAAAGGCAAAATTTTTGAGGAGTGTTGATTCGATCTTTCCATTTTCCTTCCATTGCATATTCACCCTCCTCCCCCCTCCTCCCTGCCCAACCATGATTACTAAGCACTTACTTAAAAGGAACATGCTGTCCAAATCTCTTCAGTGTGGTTCTTTGCAAGCCAGACAATCAAGGATGCCTCTGCTTCAGTTTAAACGGTTACCTAGTGCTGTGGTATTTGGTGCACATAACATTGGGAGTCTCTGCATAAGCCCTCTCCAGCTTCTTCCCATTTTCGACAGAATCTACTCCGGCAGCAAGCAGAGTCGCTGGGGGAGGGGCGTGCATGCACGCTGTCTGTGGCAAATTGAACTCATAAATATAAATACTTAGAGTCAGGGAACACTTGGAGATCAAAAACAGGGGAGAAGAAAATGGAGGGAAAGTTTGTAATGAAGAACACACAAAAACATAACTATGTATGTTGTGTACAATTGATGATCTGCGCTAATTTGAATAGCAAACGTGTTAAAGGTCATTGACAATTGTTGCTGGTTTCAGCATGAATGCCTGAGTGAGATACGTTTTGGGGCATTCTCGATTCATTCCATACCACAGACTCATACTTCAGTGTATACATAGCCCCTTCCAGTGATTTTTGACAGCAGCTTGAGACCGGTATATTTTATTTTCCTTTAAAAAGAAAAAAGAGTTAATCTGTACTCAAAAGGTTGTGTTTTGCATTTTCATCATTCCTGCATGTCCTTTTCAAAACACAGACTACAGAAGTTTATTCTCTTCGTCATACGCACACTTCAGTAATTTCTGCTTTGTACCAGGTGAAAATCAGGAATACAATTTCACTCTATAAAAACCTATACAAGCGACAATGTGCTGTGCAAATTTTCTAATCATTATAGTGCACACAATAGAAGAGCATTTATTGGTGCAGACTTTTAAAGCATCCATTGTAAGCCAGCTTTGCTAGGCAGCATTTAAAGCTATAATATGAGGATAATAATTTTCCAAGTGGGGAAAAGTGACAAGTTACTGGAGTGAAAGTTGGACAGGATGCCTAAACTTCTCCATGTTGCAAGAATGTCATGACCCATCTCTTTCATTTGTGAGCCGTGTTGTGTCAAGCACTAATTACTTTAGACGCTGTGTTCACAAAAAGCGGGAACAGCTCGACAGCATAAGCCATGATGGCTCAACAACATGGCTGGCATTGATGCAAATGTCAGGTGAATGTTTGGAGTTAAGCTCACTATGCCATTATGTGGTCCTTCAAAAATGCTTTTCACAGAGCCCATCCTTACGCAGTAAAAGGAATAAACATCTTAGAAAGGGCTGCCTGGTTGGGCCTTATATTTTGTAGAGAGGTGAACAGGGTTTGTGATCAAATAAAACTGAGAAAGAGAAACACATTTTAATTAAATTGCCATGAAGGTGGCTGCCCTCTTATATACTCTTCTTTGAGAGTAAATTCCATTGAAATCATCAGGATTTACTTCTGCATAGTGTTAGAATCTCACTGTAAGCTGTTTTGTGCAGAGTAGCAGAGAGCTAGTCGATCCAAATAATTTCAATCTATAGATGTTCTTCATCGTCATCGTCATCTTCCAATGGATTGTACTGTTTCTTGGTTCAGAGAATAATATTATAATAGGAATAATATTGTGTTACATGATAACAAAGAAATAAATGATAAACATCCCAGTTTCCGATTTGATCAATCTCTTTTAAAGGTGCTTTGTTTTCTATTCTGTGTCTCAATGAAATCTTACAGAAGTACTCCAATTTGAAATTATTTTGTTAAATTACAATACAATACTGTATGAGAATGTCAGGGATATTAATAGTTCAATACATATTTTGCTATTTATAGTTTGCTATGTGTAATAATTCTGTCTAATGGAGTACAAGGAACAGGAAAACATTTATTTACTTTTGCCAGAGTCAAATAAATTATTTGCTCAGCATTTGGAAGTAGGCTTTCTCAAGCTCAGGAAAATGGCATTTTGATGAGACTCTGTGCTGTATCACTCATTCCTAAGGCTGATTGGTGGAAGTTTAGATAAGAGAAGGTCCTGAGAAGCACTGGGGGTAGGAAGGAAAGGCCACGTGAAACATTTCCAAAGGCTGGGAAACAAACTGTAGTTTCACCCATGGCACATGTGTGTTCCATGAAGCATATCTAGAACATGCATTTGTTTTAGTTTCCATGCTAGGTAACAGGATGTTAGTTAATACTGAAAAATTTGATCCCTTCCCTCGCCCCGAGTAAGAATTTGAATACAGACATAAGTACAGCTAAACACGATTAAGCCTTTGAAGCACAATACTTACTCCCAAGTAAGTATGCATAAGATTGCAGCTGCAACTTTGCAGAGAGCAAATATCTTCAGAAATGTCCAATTTTTGTATAAATGTATTTTTTGTATATTTTCTTTCCCCTTGGTATATATTATTACTTTATTTCACTGTTCCCCATTCTGGGACTGAAATACTCCATTCAAAATACTTAGAAATGGATAAAAATAGCATCTGCAGTTTACAGCCATAAAACGCAGACAACACCACTGTCACATGCAAAGTTTAATTGCCACAAGAATGGTGGTTTTGATACAACCTACACATGCGAATTCCAGTCCGTTTGTGCATAAAGCTGGCTAAAAGTCTGCTCAAGAAGTAATGCTCACAGCTGTCAGCAAGATGAATTTTACTCTGCTACAAAGAAGCCTCTTACTCAACACTGTCTGTGCCACAAAAATCTGAACATTCTTTTGTAGCTATGAGGTGCCAGAACTATTCTAAAGTGAGCATAAGGGCAATCCCTTCATTTTTGTCCAGCATCATTTTACATACTGATGTTCCATGCGACTACAAGCTCTAGGGTCAAGCTGTTGTGCCTTGTCAAGCATAAATCCAGCCAATGCGAAACAATGCCTTTTCTTTCCATTGGGGGAAAATATGAAGTACGTTTTTAACCTTGTTAGATTTCCAGCCTGTTATGCAACTCTTGCTTCTGGCAACAAGATAGTATTTCAGGAGTTTATAAAGAGCCTTATATCCTGGTAGTGTTTCCATTAGATAGGATGTCTTACTGCCTTAAAGAGAATTTGCAGAAGAGGAGGACTCTGGCATGCTGTTATTATCGAGATGGGGCTAAATTTTGCCTGATAGCAGAAATAATCAAGTGAATGTAGACATAATGAATACTTCATTTCCCTTTCAAATGCTTCACTGCTTAAATTGTCTCTCACACACCTTTCCTTTCTGGCCAAGTTGATGGTTATTTTAAGAAAGTTCCTGAAGGATGCTTTAACATAACTTTAATATAAGGAGTTTTTCTGTGACTTCTTTCTCCTTTCCTCTTTCAGTTTTTTAAAAAACTGTTCAGTTGTGATTTCCTTTATTTATATATTATACATTTTATTTATTTGCAAATATTCCTCTCCTCCAAACTTAAAACAATCAAGGTGGTGAACACCGTAAAATCAACGATAACATCACACTAATAAAAACAAATACTGACAACAAATGAATGAATTATCCCCCAGGAAAGCCTGAGTAGGCAAATGTAGGCACCTAAATGCCAATTCAGTAGGTGCCTGCCTGTTACTAGAAGTGCTTCCCAGAGGGCAGGTGCCACAGCACTAAAAGTCCTGTTTTGTTTTGTTTTTAGAGATAAAAAGTGAACCATGACTCTGCAGCACAGCTG